TGTATCTATGGTCCAAACTCAGCTGGTAGATACACCCACCTATGACGTCATCAAACAACTATGAATAATATGTAGCAATACAATTCATTATCATACAAAATAATCAATAAATCATCATGTATAAAAACCACACAACAAACAAGGTAACACTAATCCTATTATCAGTGTTATTATCAGTACTAATTAATAATTTCTTCAACTGGTTCATTCCTAATGAAAGGTATTCCCAGTGCATCACCATGTGAATTCCATATACGGTAACCCGAGGATACCAACTCTCTTCCTGTGTAGAATAATAATAATAATAATAATAATAATAATAATAATAATAATAACAGATGCCCCATCTTACATCAACAAGACACCTGATACTGTTCTTAAGAATGCTGAAAAAGAAAAGAAAATGAAATATGGTCGTGCCTGTGAAGATAGACATGCTAGTTTTACACCATTGTGTATTTCTATTGATGGGCTAATGGGTAAAGAGATGGAATCCTTTGTTCGACGTCTGGCTGAGAGTTTAGCTACAAAGTGGGATCGCCAGATCAGTACCACACTATACTGGGTAAGAGCCAAACTGTCCTTCTCACTGATTCGTGCTGTTAATATGTGTGTTAGAGGATCTCGTCATAAATGGCGGGGGATCGGTATAGAGGATGGAAATGGTATCAACCCCAGTTTTTAAAATTAACTACTTAATTAGAACTATATTTTCATTTGATTTTATTTTATTATTTTTGTCTCTCTTTGCTTGTCCAGTGTTTTCTTCGTTTTGTTTTTTTCACTTCCCTGCTGTTGTTGCTTTTGTTTAATAATAATAATAATAATAATAATAATAATAATAATAATAATAATAACAATTGTTAAATAATTGAATTTATTATTAATATCTAACCTAATGTTAGTTTGTATTTGATCGATGGGAACAAAGTGATTGAACGAGGATCAATTTGACAGCCGCTGAGAGTGAAATCAGAAATCTTGAAATTCAACTAATGTAGAGTAGAATAATAATCAAAGATCAAATTTTAATATTAAAAGTTACATGTAGTCATGTACATGTATGTATATCAAAAAAATTATAAAAATGGACAATTCTCCCCTCGCCAATTTAGATGAAATATACTACAATCCATAGTATTTGGCCAAATTTTGGAGTAACTTTTTAATTTTTTAGAAATCCAAACTTAATGGGAATCCCCTCAAGAATATTCCACATAATGCAGTCAATCTATTTACATATTCCTACTAATC